ATTTTTCATTGTTATACAAAATAAATTGTCGACCTTGAAGATAAGATTCAATAAGGTTAAAAGCTCTGATTCCATATTTCAGAAATATCTTCAACAGGATTCCATGAGGGACACTGTCAAAAGCTTTGGATAGATCACATAATTTTGTTCTCGTTTGTATACCTACTTCCTGATTTGTAGGAATTGAATTTTTCATTTCTGACACTGCTTGAGAAGTGGATCTAAATCCATATGGGTGATTGCTTAGCTCATTTCCTTTTTCAAGAAAACTAGCTAGGCTGCCTTTAAAAACTAATTCAAATATTTTTCAAANATCTCTGAAATTAATGGAAAAAATAAAACTGGTAATTCAAAAAATGATTTACAAGATACGTCTGGTAGTTGTGAAACAAATGACGATTCAGCGTTCACAACAATAAATCAGATATTCGAAGAAAACACGGAATCGTCAGAGTGATGGTGGCCAATACCACAAATAGACACTATTTCTAAACCAATTGGTAGGGATGAGGGGATGAAATTCAACATGGGGCAGCGTTCAACAAATTAAATTTCCTACAACTGGGATTTCTATTCTATTAGCTAATGGGCAACCAATCAAGCTCCACAATAGCTGGCAAAGAGTTTTCCTCCATTGTATTTAGTAGATGTTTAGCCAATGAAGGAATAGTGTTCCGCCTTACATCACGGTGAAACTGAGATTTGATTTCAACATTACACTTTTCTTAGTGGATATTGACTGAGGCAAGTGACGTTTATTCACCTAATCAACACGTTAAACATCACAAGAAGTATGTGTGCATCTCACACATTCAAGTTTCTGACGGCACGAGTTGCACCATTGCATCACTGGCATTATTGTATTTCAGGCTGTGTGGTACAGCAGTGCTTCTTTATTTCCATTTATTTATGAAGTATATGTTTTTTGATATCCTGGTGAACAGTTTCGTACACTAAGCATGCATTGTTGGAAAACCTGTGTCTAGCAATAAAGGTATATTCGGTTTCATGATTTAAAAATAATTTGAATAATCAAATAAAAAATTAATATCACAAAAACATGAAATACAATTGAATGTATTACAACGGGTGCATCTGAATCAAGAAAACGGTGTTTTAGTCTGTGCAAACGTTCTACCATTCTCTGCTGAATTCTTCATATCATTTTAGCCAAACTTGGAACTTCTTCCAAATTGGAGAAATCGATTTCCTGGCCAACCGACTCTTCCTTCAGAGATGTAATTGACATTTTATTATTGGTTATTTTTTGGTCAACTATATAAGCATTAACAGTAACTGTCCCAAGACGGAGCTCAAATGCAATTTCACAATACCATTTCATTAATATTCGTAATGCTGTACAGTAGGATTTTATTTGGTCAGATATATCCACTAAACCCCTACTGTTATTATAATCGACAATTATAATTGAACAAACTCCTCCTCTCTGTTAAACATCAAAACATCAAGTTGAGCAGTATGCTTTGTACTCAGCATAAGCACGTCACGCTTGTCCTTCCATTTGGTGATTACCGCCTCTGTGCTACTCTCTTTTCCGACAATCTCTCTTTTTTTCAATTTGGTACCAGTCACTTCTTTTGAATTGAGTTTTCTGTCTGTCCTCGAAGTTCCCACTAGGTGTGTTTTCTTCTTTGGTAGACCACTAATGAGACGCTCGAATAGCAGTTATCTGTATATATTTTATGCCCCACATCTAACAAATTATTAGCTGAACGAAACATAACTGATTTATTTTCAGTCTTCTCCTTTCCAAAATATATCTGCAAGTCATAAGTGTAACCTTCCTTTAAACATAGTTTGTACAACTTTACTCCAAACTTGTGTTTTTTATTCTTGATGAATTGTCTAAGCGATAGTCACTCCCTCAATGGAACCAATATTTTGTCAATGCATAGTTCTTCACCAGGCACAATCACATTTTGAAAATTTTTAACCAATTTCTTCCCAAGCAGTAAGAGTTTATAAAGTCGAAGTTGTTTGTTACTCCTCTCATTGTCACTGAAATGTGAGTTTGCAAGTAATAATTCAAATCGATTATGTGACATGAAACTCTTCATATTGTTTCCATATAGTGCATTTTTTGACCAATACAAGCACAGTTTTGGTAATTTATTCAATCCCATCCAAACAATGATGAACAAGAAATATTTTATTTCTTTGTTATTCATATCCACCCATTTATGATTACTTGCTTTAGGGCCGTGACTACCAGTATTCAATTTTTGAAGTGCATATCTATTAGTTTCCTCCATAATCAACTCAACAATATCATCATTCACAAGGAGTTGAAAAAAAATTAAGAGGTTTTTTGTCATACATATCAAAAAGTTCAACTTTGATACCCGAGTTCTGAACATTGAACTTTATATTTTTCAAGTTCTGGACATTCATATTGTTCTATGACAATAGCGTGTAATCACAAGGTACCTATGTCTACGCCTAGGTACTTACTTATATGCTAAGATCTTTCCAGATAAAATTTGTTATGAATGTACCAAAAGAATTACAATGAACCTGAAATGGGTGAGGAAGAAATTGTGAAGATGGAATGTATCTGAGATTCGAATTAAGAGAAACCAAGCCACGCCCACTAATAATAATATAAAACCAGAGTCAAATACCAGTATCCTCGTTAATGGGGTCGGAACGATGGGAACAACAACTGGAGCACCAACTCGAGCACTGCGAAAGTTACCACATCGCCTTTGATAATATCTACCGAAGTAGTAGAGGAAACGTCAGGCATAGAAACCTTCAGGCCTTGGCCAAAAAAACCCGAAAAATAGCTTTCCACAGTTATCTCCGAGTGTGAAACTTCACACTCTTTGATCAGTGACTACATCATCAAAATGATACAACTCCAAATACACAAGCCAACAAGTTTTCACTACAGATCAAGAGCATATGCTTTGTGATTACATTTTTGAACATTCATATATGGACTCCGGACTAAATTATAAACAAATGTGACAGCTTGCATATGAATATGTGAAACAATTAGGCCTACTGGCACTGCACTGCCACCGAATCAAAGTTCAATAATAATTCACACCAACGTGGCAGCTCCACGATCTTTCAGTGCAGGTCCAGCATTGTGGCCCAGAATTTTTATGAGATGCTTAAAGAAGTTTTTTGGCAACGCAAGGTCCACCCAAGCCACTGAATGACTCTAAATTTTTTTTCATTGATAGTGGTTGTGAATTTACCCAAAACTATTACATATACCTAGCATATCTTCACTCTCTCAATCTGGTGGTTAATGATATGGCAAAAGTATCTCCGGAAGCAGCTTACTTTTTTTAATATAGTTCATAAAATAAAAGTATATATTGTCCAAGGATAAACTTTAAAACCATTGAAAAGTAGAATTTGGAATATGTGACGTAAAATAAATCTATTGAAAAGCGTTGACACTAGATGGAGAATAGATAGAGGCTTTAAAGGCCTTTGAAATTTTATATGAGAGATATATACAATGCTTTGCTAAGCATTTATGAAAACTATGAATTGATAGTTTATTAAGAGAGGTCTTGGGTTCATAAAATTGTATTAAACAGTTCATGTTTTTGGGTTTGCTAGTTATTAAGTATAAACTATTAAACTGCAATAATCCAAAAACCAAGCTGATACAAACGAAAGATGGTGATCTAGCATCTACACTTGATGTTTTACAAAACTGCAAAAAATCTTCATGGAACTTCGATTGGATAAGTCTTTTATCAACACTATTGTTAAAGCAAGAGAACTGGTGAAATTGATGTCGAGGCTAATTTGGAATCAACAATATCCCATTACCACATTAAAAACTAATTTCTAATATGATGTACAAGATGAATCAATTGAAAAATATAGGATAGGATATAGGAAAATTTTGTGTGTAGAGACACAAATTAGCAGTTTCTTCAGACGTATCATCACTTGACATTTTAAAAATTTCAAACTTTAAAATACCCTACACACCACAGGTGTTAAAACGTAAATGACCACTCCGACACTGTAACGATATAACTGAAAAAATGAATTTTACCAGCCGATTGCTGTTAGATCTGATTGGTGAGCGGAAGGAGACTTGTTTATTTTACTCAATAGATGCAAATGTGCCTGATCATGCGTCGATCACGCATCTATCATTGTTTGGGTTGCTTTTTTTGTTGGATAGATATAGTTTAGATGCCAGATTTGAACAACTTAACCACAATAGTAACTAGTTTCAGTGTTGATATAATGACTACAATTTGAAAACCATGTCTAAAGAAATGCTAATAAAAGATGGCAACAATTTGGAGAGTATTTTAAGTGACTGTTATTTAGTTGACATAAATGGGGCAGATTTAGCAGACGAAATTTTTGAAGTATATTCGCTTCTGGGCAAAAAGGAAAGTCTAAGCAATGTAATAAAATCAATAAATAGCAATGTTAAATTTTGCCCAAACCTAAAGAATATTGCTGACTACCAATAACTGTTGCAAGTGGAGAAAGGAGTTTCTCAAAATTAACATTCAAAACAAGGACTGTCCTCAAACACCAAAATTGCAACATTCTTTTTGAAACACGTTTCACCAACCAAGTTGTCGTCAGGAGATGAAGTAGATTGAATTGACATTTTAGCAATTGAAAATGAAAGTACTGATCAAATAAACTTGAAAGAAGTAATAAAAAAAATGCAGAAATAGAAGAAATAAAAGTTTATCAATTTCAGTAATTTGATTTCACTTTTTTATTTGTTTAGGATGTAATTTTTTTTATGTGGTTGTAACCTATTTAAAAAAAATCGTAGTAGGTTCATGTTTCAGATATTTTTCAATTTTTTCTGCTTTGTCCTACTTTAATTGTTGATAATGTTTCAGAATTTTGTAACAATTTAAAATCATTTGATATTTATTCTAAATGGAAAGATAATGAAATTTTTGTTATTGAAGGGGGGGCAAATTTTTTTGTGAAGCAATACAAGAATACAGCGGGTGCTGCTTCTGCTGCTTACTTGGACTATATCTAAGGAATAACACAGTAAATAACTATTAAAGCTGTTGACAGATAATACTTGAGTAAGACCTAAAATTCTGCATAAATCTTTTCAACAGTGAATGAAAGGTAACCATTACCTTGTCTATATCCTTCAGTCTGTTATTTGCTAGTGGTACTTTCAAGGAACTGCCCACTTCTTTTAGCTTTCTCTTCAATGTTATTTTACTTCCCTTTCCAGGGCACAAAACTGAATAAAAAGTTCTGTTTTGACTATTAGAGTTTAAAACAACATCTTTGTTTAATATCTTTACTGGTTGAACACTTTGAACTTGTGTCGAGTTAGCATAAATGCAAGGTAAAATGGAATATGTTGACTTTGGTAGACCACCACAACTTTTATAATCGTCTTGGAAGATCGCTCCCTCCTTAATCAACATCAGAAGGTTATCAGCTCCTCTTTCAAATCCACTTCCCGGTCGTGATGCTTGACGAGAAATACTTTCGAATAACTGGGAGTTTATTAAGGACATGCACATTTTTTTGTAACACTGCAGGAGTATTCGTAAGCGTTTATTTTCGGAATAGTTTTCGCAATCTTTACATCTCTGGCAAGCAGGTTTGATTTTTTTACGACCTCCTCTACACGTTTTACACAGATGATGCCGACATTGTGCTGCTGTAGGAGAAATAGGATCTACTAATAAATTTGAACATACAACACAGCATAATGAATTTCTCAAGTAAGGTACCAGTCTATACAAATCTTGCCATGTAGTCGAATTATTTGGATCGGATTTCAGTATTATTCGTGTTGTTGTGACATATAGGTTTGTTGAATTCATTTTTGGTCCACTAATGTGCCTCTCTCTAACATTCATTTTTGTGTTATTGTTTGGAATTTGGAAATTTTAATTGGATTCGAGACAGGGTTGCCAACAATTGGGAACTGAATCACAGGGGAAATAAATTTCACTCATCTGTGACTGAATGTTAAACATAGGTTATTTGTTGTTGTTCCTTGTTTGATTGTGTGCGTCCTAAGCATGTACCCAGCCATTAACATTATGTTTATTGTTTTTTTTATGAGAAACTGATGAATAGGTAAAATGAGTTATTTCACTCACGAGAAGCACAATGAACTATAACAATATACAAAAACAGTTGACTGGAGATTGTTTTTGTTTTACAATCCGGCTTAGTTTCAATTTGTCCGGTAAATGTCGTGTCTAATCGATGAACAATTACGTTGTGCTTCCAGCAGTGGTTGATTGTAGAAGCACCAGTAATGAGTGAAACACACTTTTAATGACTCTGACTACTTGAACTCAACACAAATAAAAGTTATTCGCACCTTACTATGTGTTTTATTCAAACAGAAAGCTGGTCAGAAAATGAGCTCAAGATTAAGGGTGCATTGAATTTTCTAATATAACAACTTCCCCCTTGAAAAGAAAGTTGATGCGGTGCTGCAACTTTCAGTCAAGCAAATGTTTTATTGGGACTTAATTCAATTTCTTCCTCAATGGGTTCCTCTAGGTGAATACCTACTAGGTCTTCTTCCTGGAGTTGGGAGTAATCTTCGAAGTGATGCAAAATTTCTTCTGGGTCCAAGTGGTTAATCATCATTGCTCGATGTCATTACACCAATTTGCATAGAATGTCTTTTTCTACATTTACAAAATATGTAAAGTATTATAAAAGTTACAATAATTAGAATCGTAAAAATAGTAAACCATGAAACATGTCGGTTTACGAATGGTTAATTTATAATTTCTTTAATTACAGAGGTTGTGACTGAAATTGGTTTTTTTAGTAAATTTTCAATTTGGTGTTCATCTTTATAAATCTTGTTAATACATTTATTAAAGTATTCGCCGTCTCTGGCATCAAGGTTGCCGGTTATAGCTTTCCATACGGAACCTATTCCATTTAAAAGACCTCTTTTGTGTCTATTATTGTGTCTCTTATTGCAATCATTCGCGTCTATTTCCGTCTCTTGATATTTTAACTCTACTAATTCAGCTACTTTATTCAGAAGGCTAATATGTGTGCTTATCTCTGAACTGAAAGTTTTCATTCCTAAATTGTTTGTTTCAATTAGGTGAATAAGATTACTTAAAATATTTCGATTATGATCAATGGCTTCTGTTATAGGTGCCATGTCTTTTACAACTAATAAAGTCCATTTTTCATTTGATATTTTCATGCTTCCTGTTTCATGATAATAAATACCTATTGTGTTGTTCACAGGTACTATCATATACTGGGCGTTGATTATTTGAATCTTAAGCATAAGTGCCAGTAGAAGAATCATTCTCGGTCTGAAACCAAACTTGGTTTCAGTCTATCGAAATTTAATTTTTGTTTGGTTAGTTTCGGGATTTCTCGGTAATGCTGAGTTTTTGAAAATTTCTATTACTTCAAAAGGTCCATTGAATTTATTTTCTAACTTATTTTTGATTTGGGACTCTTTTACATATACTTTAGCATTGTCCAAGGATTTATAGTCGGTCAACCACAATGTAAAAAGCATTGGATGGAGGTTGCCAGAGCCATCTATACTTTTTTTTACTAGAAATTCTGAAATTGTATCCTGTAATATGGCGCCTTCATCGGAAGGAAAGCAAAACTTTCATTGAAGAAAGTACAAAAAAAATTATGAATGAAATAATGTTGACCTGAATTGAAGTTGAGTCAGATACACTGAAAAATAACCAAGTATAGATATTGAGGTATATCTATGGAACGCCGGTTTACTTTTTGTTATCACAAATATGCATTCCTCAATTTATTCAACTAACAATTTATTTGTTTGAATTTAATTGATTCATGCATTTGTAAATCAAGTGACTTTTGAAATAGAACAAACAGTCGTTTTTAATGTGTACAACAAATGCATGAATCAATTAAATTCATACAAATAAATTGTTAGGTGAATAAATTGAGAAATGAATATTTCTGACAATAAAAAGTAAAACGGCGTTCCATATATATCGTTTCGAGGCAATTCTACTTATGGAATTATCTTGAAATTCGACAGGGATACATATCATTCGAGTGACAATGCATTAACTACATTTACGATAGAAGAAAGATAGAAGTTGAGTTAGGTGAATTGAAAGATTTTTATCAACATTCATGATAGATGAAGAGTTTTGTAATTTAATTCCGATTCTATAAAAAATTGGTATTTTGAAGTCAAATATTAGATATTTTTACAAGATTCAAGATGGTGGAAAAGCTAGGTGATTTATGGTATGATTCTATTTAAAATTGGTATACAGGTGCTTTTTGGGCCATGATTTTTTAATACGTTTTTATGGACTCGCTTTCTTGACTGTTTGTTCTGTACAAATCTTGTGAAGTGAAATTTGTTCAACTTCTTGTTGAAATTTGGAAGATGTTCATAATTTCCGTGACGATGACTTATGAAATTTTCGTTACAGAAAAAGAAAACAAAATGGACGTGATATATGATTATGGTCTTATTCTATTAAAAATTGGTTTGTGGGGGTTTTTGGAGCCAAATATTATGAATTAATAGTCAAGATTACTGAAATCAAGATGTCGGGTCCAAGATGGCTACGAGTTTGGTGATTTTGATCCGATTCGATTGAAAACTGATATGTGGGGGTTTGAGGATCCGGGATTGTGAATTTTTTAGACAATTCTCAAATTCAAGATGGCGGTAGAGTTTTGTGATTATGGTTAGATTCGATTTAAAATTGGTATGTGGGGAATAAAGAGGTCGGATATTAGAAATCATGTTTAAGTGGAAAAATAATAATTAAACTTTGCATAAGACATTTGTTATCCTATGTAACCTGTTTTTTTGTGATAACAAAGACGTTCATTATTATTATTATCATTATTATTTTTCCCCAATGGTAAGCTGATCCGGCTGGTCGGGACCTGTCCCCAAAGCTCCGACACAGTGGGGAGGGCGTGCCAGCAGTATCAATCAATGAGCACCCCCCACGCCGTGGAGTGGGTGATCATTGGGTCTGAAAACCACGAACCAAGAACGACATTCTTCTGCATTTGCCCGGCCAAGGTGTCTGCCATCGTGCGAGCAAGCCGCATGATATTACTATTTTTATTATTTGTCATTTTCTTCATTCTCCTAAGATGATTGTTTACTTTTTTGATTGATGAGCTTTCAAAAATAATGAATGACAACATAATGATGAATGTTTGTAACCACGATAGTAACAATCAATGTTTAGCTGTCGGTCTCTCAGTGGTCCTCCAGAATAAGAAAATATATAAAAAGTTAGAGAATTGTACTAGCCTACTGAGCGTAAAATGTACTGAAAAGTACACAGAACACATGTTCTACAAGCTGCAGCACTGCCTAATTCCAATATTTTTGAAAGGTGAAACGTCAAGTGCTTAGCGCCCTCTATTGAGTATTCCTGTAAGTTGTCATTATCGCTTGACAGCTTTCTATAGAATAATTTTTTTCTGTTTAAGTAAAATTTTTCATAGAACGCGCTGTTTAAAAAGCGACGTCGAGCGTCGAAGAAAGCGACGCTGGCGGAGACATCGACAATGAGCCCGGAGCAAAGTTCCACAAAAATACAGGCAGATAACATTCTATTGATTTTTCAAAACGTTCGTTGAACCAATCAGAGAGACAGGACTATTTTTAAAGGGTGAGGTTGTTGTTAGGTTTTTACAAAGCTAGTGCGGACCTAAACGTACCTAATGTGTGTGCAGTTTTAACATTTGTAACGAGCGAGAGCTCGTTCAACCTCCGATGCAGGTGGCAACTCTTTTTCGCGAGTCCTCCACGTTACTGGGAGCGACAATGGAATCGGGCGGAAGCGGAGGTGGCCAGGACTCAGGTGCCTCTGGCCTAGGCCCTGGACCTTTGCCCTACGAGTCCTACAACCACCCAGTGACCTTCTCGAATAAGTACAAGCTGTAAGTAGTACTCGCGACACTGTCCGCTTGGCTTACTTCCCCGCACGCGCCGCATGTAAACATTTTTATTTACTCTATCATCGCCGAATATTTTTCGGCACCGGAAAACCTGCTTCATCCATATTTCAAAATATATATTTTGCATATCTGTGAAAACACTTTCCCACGTTGATATCACACTTTTTTTTTTAATTTCCAGTCTGAAATATTTATAAAACTATTTATTTACGCTCGATATAGTGCATAGCCTTGTAACTATTTTCATTTAACAGTTTGATAACTGCTGTAATATGTTTACACAACACCAGTTTACCTTCGGTGTTTACGTGTTGCCTAATCCCTGATAAGTGACCACACATATAGAACATCCCTACAGGCCTTGAATTCATCCTGCATGATGTTTTCGGTTTTCCTTTAAAATACGTCCTCAAAATTACTGTGAGTTCAAGTATTCTCTCGTGCCTCAACTATGACATTTTAACAATGATCATTTCTTCCTTAGAAATATGAAACTGGAGCCTCATGACGATGGTTATGAAACTGGTGCTGATATGCTTTTAAACACTGCCAGTATCACTCATAACCATGAAGTAAAGTGTGAAAAATTGGAAGACCCCTACAGTTTTATTGATGATGACCCTATTCCTTTGCTTCCTTCGGCACCGGGGCCTCCGCACCTTATGCACCCTATGCCCCCAATCAATAATCAGTTGTTACCTGGCCCAAAAAAACGGGGAAGAAAAAAGAAAATTAAACCAGAACAGTGAGTTATCCTATTTTTGCTTACATTTACACTATACAAACAGTAATTATGAACTATCTAAAACAGATCAGACAAACTAACACATTTTCAGTCCTTTCCAAAATGGTGAAAGTAACAATGAATTTTAGTTTTGTTGGGGAAGCTATCGAACTGGAATCATTGAATTAAAAAAATTCCATTATAGTTCGATTACACTACAGCTACTGGACTGAGTCATGGCCGGTGGGAGAAATCGTATCTGCATAATGTTTGGGTCAGTTTATGACAAAGAAAGTATTAGAAAAAAAGAAATAGACACTTTTGTTTGCAATTTTAGGTAGTACTGATTAAGGAGTAAACAATAAAGGGATATTAAAATGCCATTTGGGTTCTTGAAGATATATAAAAGTCAAGCTCATGGGCCATGACTCAGTCGGGCAGCTGTAACATTGGTTGAAATAATATATTTCAATTTCCTGGTCATTGATTTTGATGAAACAGTTTGAAATTAAAAATAGAGCCTTTGAAATTATATAAGAATTTTTTAAATGTCCTTGCTGTTGATCTTCATAGCAACTTCCTAAACTAGGAGAAGATATCTCTTAAGCAGATTAAGTATGTATGGAATAATCCCAGGAATGGGTATTTAGTGCAACATCTATTGAATCCAACTGTTTATAAGAAGTTGTAAAAGTTTTATTTTGAATAATGTAATAATAATAATAATAATATATCCCTTCAGTATCTTCTTTTACTACCCTTTTAAGCCCTTTTCAAAGTAAGGTCAGGTGGTTAGCTATGTTATAAAATGAATTAATGCATTTTCATCAGTAATTATGGATGCAGTATCTTAGCTCAAAATGTTTTTGTGCAATTATTATGAAACATGCACGGTGCAAAAAGAATTGTTATTGAGCAGGACCAGATAGTGACTTTGAAATTTCAGAACATATGTTCTTGGCTACAAAATTAAGTCATCTTTTCAGTTGATAAATGGTATTCAAAAACGAGCCAACCTGAATAACTTTTGGTACAATGATATGCAGGAAAAATAAAAAAACACGTCAACCATAATAATAGTAACAGATTTCAACAAAGTAGAATACATTATGGTCTGAAGCTCATAGTTTACAAGCTAAAAATTATTTGCGTTGAAAATGAGCCACCTTGAATGAACTTCTGTACAATCTGTTACTTTGGTTTCATAAGTGTCCTTGCGAAGTATACTTATAAAATGTCTTTTTGCCTAGTTAAGTTTGAATTCGATATTCTCTTAGATATGTGTCATTCTGCAATAACGATTTTCTACCAGGTGAACTTACAATTGGTGTTTCTGTTTTTGTGAATTCTTGAGAAGCAATGGTTTATACGCTTCAAGAACGGATTGAAATAGTGAGTTTTTACTACCAGAATGGAAATAGTGCTAGAGCTGCTGCCCGTTATGTTCAATGATAATCATCCAGGAAGAAATGTACGACCCAAATACGTTTAGGAATTATTGAACAAATTTATGGAAACTGGATCTGTTAACAATAAAAAGCATAACCGTTCAGGAGTTGTCAACGATGAAGCTATTTGAACTGTAGTTTTAGGGCACGTTGGACTAATCTCTTACTAAGTTATCTCAAGAATCGAATCAGTCGTACAAATGTTTTCAGGATCCTTCATAAGTACAAATTTCATCCATGTAAGATTAAACTAATTCATAAATTGAACGAATATGCTTTCGATAGACGTTATCGAGTTTTATGAAAGTTTCACTGAACGGATCAAGTTGCATCAGAATGTATAAAATTTATACCGTCAAGTTCATACCCAACGATCTCAAAAACTGAATGTTTGGGTAGGAATTTTAGGTGACTACATCATAGGAACTTTTTTTATCGATGATAATTTGACTAGTGATAAATATTTGGATATATTGAAGAATCGAATAATACTGTGCATCAATAGGGCAACTGAGTATATAAATTTATTCGAA